TATCATAATTTATATTAGCATAGACTTATATGTATATTTGTACATATCATATTAGCCTATATTCATATGTAAAAATTTTCTGACCCTTGAGGATGGCATATCAGAGGAAAGCCGATGCTAAGATTAACTAGGACTTTGAAAGATCAGATTATAGAAACAAACCAAATGAGAGGAGACATTCGTTCCCTTTGAGCTTCATATTTGGGGAAGGAGAATAGTGTTGGGTGGCTGTTCTTCGCTACTGTGCAGGCTGCCAGTTTCTGAACAGAATATGGATCAGATGGAGAGAGATGAAATCCAGATTGTGACTCAGAGAAGCAAAGAGGAGGATGGAGCAAAAATCTAATTACCTGGAATCTCTATGAAGAATCCATCAGTTATAAGCTCAAAACACTTAACCTGCACTTGCAAAACCTGAAAAACAATGAGCAAACTTCTGATGATATTTGAAGATGGTTTTGATCATTCTGATCATGTGGGAAGTGATTATTCACAGTAAGTCACAAAAAGATGAGAAGACAGTTGAATAATTTCCATGTGGCCCAGTTGAGGTCACATACAGAGTATATCTACATATTGCTTAAGGAGGACACTCAATACCCTCAAATGTTAAGTCGGTGTGGTAAAATATTCCAAAATGTCTCTCTAATTAACCTCTAGAATTGTTGGCATCTTGCATTTTCCATGGTGCTTTGCACACCCTTTGCTGAGAGTGAATAAATAACTTTGTTCATTTGTTACTATTATCGTATCTTTGTTCTTTGCTTCTCCAAAGCAATCAAAACATTTATTTGAATAGATAATAAATAGCAGAAGATGTTCAATTTACAAACTTTTCAGATGTATCAAATACTGGGTCAAAATGCAGGCCAATTATGTGAACTTTGGAAACACAATTATTCCCAAGCTGTCAGCCTGCCTTTATGAACGTCAAAAACATGGCATGTAATTCTATACAAATCCTAACATGGTGTGTTCCAGAATGTTTTGCTCAAAGGTTTCCTTCTACACACTGATTGCTTTAAATATATCTATTGCAGTTAAGAATAAAGAACCACTGTACTTTTTACAAGAGGCTATTCTCAAAAGCGATGTTTGTCCTAATGTTAGTTTACGTGATATCTTTTTTTTTTTTTTTTGAGACAAAGTCTCACTGTGTTGCCCGGGCTAGAGTGCCGTGGCGTCAGCCTAGCTCACAGCAACCCCAAACTCCTGGACTCAAGCGATCCTCCTGCCTCAGCCTCCCGAGTAGCTGGGACTACAGGCATGCGCCACCATGCCTGGCTAATTTTTTCT